GCTTGCCAGGTCAGCACTTATTCTACTGAGCTATTTCCCTGCCTCCCTACTTCAAATCTGCTTAGGCTGTTTTTTCTTTTCTTTTCTTTCTTTTTTTTTTTCTTTGTATTGGGAATCGAACTCAGGACCTTGTGCTTTCCAGCCAGGCACTTATGCCACCAAGCTACATCCCTGGCCCTAGGCTGTTTTCAAAACCTACAACACTTTTCTCTCCTTCTTTCCCTTTGCAATCCTGCCCATTTCTGAGCCCTGATCCCATGCCAGCCCCCTTGAGGAGCCTTCTCTGTTCCCAACAGTTTCAGAGGCTTCGGCCCTTCTGGAACTCATGCCTGGCAGCCTTGAGCTTATCACCTGCCCTGTGTGTCCTGCAGGCTGCTTGGCATCAGGCGTCTGTGTCTGATGCACTGTCCTGGAGGACACCAACACGCGCACAGTGCTCTCGACTCACTTGTCCACTTGCTCTCGTAATATTTCATTCAAGCCCCATGAAGAGTTTGAAAACTGGGCAAAGCAAACCTCATGATTTTACAAGAGGACAGAAGGGCTCAGAAGAGAAACAGTGGCAGAGGTGGAGGTGAACCTGGTTTTTTGGCCCATCTACTTGGGACACCGCTACCTGCACCTTATCTTTTTGACCCTATCACAGCTCAGTACTGTACAATGCTCAGTTCTCACAGTTTGTTGGCAGGCAGTTGTAGGCACACTGTCCCTTTCTCCCAGTGACACCAGGGAAAGTGCTAATCTGTGCTTCTTCCAACACAAGAATAGAGTGGTGTGAGTGTGTGTGTGTGTGTGTGTGTGTGTGTGTGTGTATGTATGTGTATATAAGACAGAAACACAAGGGCCAGCCAAATAGTTCAGTGGATTTTAGGCAAGGGTCTACAGGGTGTTTAGGGTCTCACTACTAGATCAAATTCATAGTGATCCACCTGTTTACAGCCTCCCAAGAGCTGGGATTACAGGTGTGCACCACCACACCCAGTATCAGTTGCCATTTCAGCACACCCCAGGGACAGGGCTGGCACTGGGACAGCAGGCCTAGCGATAGCTCAGCAGATTAAAGTGCCTGTTTAGGCAGATGCAGCTGCAGGGGTTGGATCCACTTGTGCAGTGCCAGCCCTGCCCCCGGGGTGCGCTGAGACGGCGACTGAGACTGGGCATGGTGGTGTGCACCTGCAACCCCAGCTCTTTGGGAGGCTAAAAACAGGAGGATCATTATAAGTCTAATCTATGTAGTGAGACCCTGTAGACCCTTACTAAAAAATACAAAAAAAAAGATAAAAACACCGACAGGGCATTGTGCACAGGAGTGTGTGTGTAAGCAGTACTCACAGGCTTCTGCTTCAGGCCAGTTCTGGAAAGGACATTTTTTGCTCCTCACAGTGTCCTTTTGCAGGTAGGCTGCCTGGGAGGAGGGGGCAGGAGAGCAGGCAGGGAAAGTCAGAAACCAGCTTTACTGCAGCACTCAAACCTAAAGCTCATTCTGGTTCATGCTTAACCGCGATGTAGTCTGCACTGGGAGGGTACTGAGGAGAGAAGCAGGGTGGAATCTGAGGAAGGACAGGCAGGACCTCCAGAGCAAGGAGATATCGCCAAGTGAGGGGCTAAGTCCTCATCCCCCTGGAAAGAGCTCTTAGCAAGAAGGAGACCATGAGGTCCCTGTTCCTTACCTTAGCCTTCCCTGGCCCCCACTGCTGGTCATGCTCTAGTGCTAGGACTGTGTTGCTCCCACTCTGGACTGCCCCAGTGCCAGCTATTGTCCACCTGCCAGTTGCTTCATGCACCAGGTCTCTGCTGTACCTTTCCCTTGGCCCCTTACTTTTTTCTTTTTCTTTTCTTACTTTTTTTTTTTTTTTTTTGAGACAGGGTTTTACTATGCAGTTCATGCTGCCTTAAGCTCATTATGCAGCCCAGGCTAGTCTTGAACTTGCAATGACCCTCCTGCCTCAGCCTCCTGAGTGCTGGGATTGCAGGCATGCATGCACCACTCCCTGCCTTTTCTTTTCTTTTCTTTTCTTTTTTTGCCGAACCAGGGATTGAACTCAGGCCCTAGCGCTTGCCTGGCAAGCGCTTCTACTGAGCTATCTCCACAGGCCCTGCCTTTTCTAACTGGGCCAAAGCAGTCTTTTGCTGGACACCTCAGATAGAAGATGGGGAGGCCTGCAATACAGGGCAGAGGGACTGGGACTTTCGAGGTCACGAGGAATGCAGGGATGGTGTCTGTCCATTCTGCATCTGCACTATGGCCAGGCCTTGAGCAGGGAGTGCAGGACTGAGTGGGGCTAGAACGGAGCTCTCAATAAGCAGGTCCTGTGTTTTGCAGGACCTTTCCACCTCTAACCGTGTGTGGCTACAGCCAGACTGACGCCAGTTTTTCTGTGTGTCTTGGTGACACTCAGCCCTCCCCCCCTTTTTAAAATTTATTTTTATTATATTAATTAATTAATTAATTAATTTATTTATTTTTAAGGAACCAGGGCTTTAACTCAGCTCCTTGTGTTGCCAGGGAAGTGCTTATTCCACTGAGCCATCTCCCCATCCCTCCCCTCCCTTTTTTTTTTTTTTCCTCCCCTCCCTTTTTTTAAACCTGGGATTGAATCCAGGCTTTTGCACTAAACCCCTCCCATTTTACTTCATTTTATTTTTATGTATTTAGTACAGGGTCTATAGCGTCTCATTATACAAATCAGATTGCTAGTGATCTTTCTGTCTTGCTGTTTTCAGCTTCCCAAGTGCTGGGATTACAGGCTTGTAGCACGATGCCCAGTCTCAGTCCCAGGCTCAGGGCACCCAGGGTGATGGAACCAGCACGGTACACCAGGGATGGAACCTGTCTCTGCCCCTCCCCTTTTAGAAAAAATTTTATGTGTTTTTTTGAGACAGGGTCTCACTATGTAGTTCATAACCTTGTGTTCACCATGTAGCCCAGGTTGCTCTTGAACTCATCATGATCTATCTGCCTTAGCCTGCCACAATGCTGGGCATTACAAGCGTGTGCCGCCATACCCAGCTAGTCTTTTTTGTTTGTCTGTTTCTATTTTATGGTGCAAGGGTCAAAGCTAGACCTCATGCATGTTAGGCAAGTCCTGTACCAATGAGCTACATCCCTAGCTCCACCTCATTTCTTTAAATCCTGACTTACTGGAAATATGCTTGACCAAGGACCTAGGGACAACTTCCCCATTTTCCTCTGCTCACCTCTATGCATAGACAGGGCAGAAGGAATTCGTAAGACAGGTCTTCAGTGTGACCCCCAGCCACAGTTTTCTGTTGATGAAGCAACAAAGGGAGAGAAGAAGACTCGTGAGGCAGGGAGTAGTACTGTGGACAAGAGCAGGAAGACACTGGGATGTTGGCCCACACAGTCTGTTTTTTCTTCCATGAGACTTTTATTTTCCATTGAGAATCTCCTCTCACAAGTGTCTGCTTTACACACAGTATTTCTGTCTGGGTGCAAGAGACACTGAAAGAGGTACATGTTCACTGCGCTCCTACCGTACATCTGCAGGTGTTAGAAGCATTAACTCCATTGTGGTGAAGTTCTAAGTGGGCATCACTGGGGTGAAAGTGCAGAGAACTGAGGGCCTTTGGGGTGCAGCATCAGTCTCCAACAATGGCACTGATGTACACAGTGGTATCTATGACAACTGGAAGCTGAGGGGGATTTGGGGCCCAAGCCTGGAGATCAGCGGCTATTTTATTTTCTGAGGGGCAGAACAAAGTGTAGGAGAAGGAAGGTGCCCAAACATGCATTTGAGTACTGTGTTCTGGTCACAGGGGACCCACCCTGGGCGGCCTGAAAGCTGGTTTCCACCAAGGAGCCTCTCTTCAGGGAACCTACCATATTCTCCACTCATTGTCCCCAGGACCCTACCTGCTCCTGTCCTTCCTCTCCTCCCAAATGACAAGACCCCCCCTTTTTTTTTTTTTTCCTGTCTGGGGTGAGAAGCCTTCATGCCAGACATTTCTTCTGGCAAGGAGTCCTGAACAGTTACTCTCCTTCATGGGTGTCCCCAGGTGCTTCAGCAGTGCTGGCTCTTTACCGGAGGGACACTCCATACCTGGGCATCAAAGGGACTGCTCAGCTCTTCACACTCGAGTGCCCACTGATGACAAAGGCGCACACTGACCTCTGGGCCCAGAGGAATGGTTACCCGAATGGCCTGGGCCACAGGCAGCAACTCAAAGGTGAACTCTGGTCCTGCAGAGGTGTGGACACTGGCCTTAGGACACGCAGCACTACTCAGCTGAAGCCATCTCCTGTCACATCCCATGCCTACCTCCACGCCTCAGTGAGCCCACTGCCCCTGGATCTGAAGGCTGGGTCCTTCTGTAGCGTAGTCTCTTGCGGGAGACGTTTAGGGTGGGCGTGGAAATTGGAAGGCCTTTTTCAGACTGAACACGACTGTCTAGCAGCTTTCTCTGTAAGCAGAGAGCAAGCTTGGCTTTAGGCCAGGAATCTGTTTCTACCTCTAGAAACTGAGTAACCACTGACAAGTTGTTCAACCTCTTTTGGCTTCCATTTCCTTTACTGTGTAACCCCCACATGTTCAACCTCCTCCTGCATCTGGAGGACAAAATGTGAGGCTGTAAAGAAAAGGGCTGAGAGACCTAGGGCAGGACTAGACCAGGGCAGAGAGTACCTGAGGAGACGCTGGCATCCTATGTCCCTGGCAGAACTTGAACTTGTAAGACTTTTTGTATCTCTGCATTAGGAGACGGAACCAGCCCCACTCAAGGCCTGTGTAGGGAAAAACAGTTAGCATTCTGTCCCTCAAGGCCCCTCCCTTGCCCAGCAGTTGCTATGCCGCTGAGCTAGCTCCCTGGCTAGAAAGTCATTTTAAATCAAAGACAATAGGATGTCAAACAAACTGAATCCTAAAAATTATGATGCAATAACAAAGAACTTAAAGAAAAAGTTCTTTTATGCATATATAAAGGTATTCATGGGGCCGAGGAGATGGCTCAGTGGAATAAGCGCTTCCCTGGCAAGCTCAGGGGCCTGAGTTCAATCCCCAGTTCCACCAAAAAAAAAGGTGTTCATTATTTCTAACACTGAAAATTAAAAAATTAAAAGCTGCTAATTCTTAAGCACTATGTGATCCTTTAGTATGGCAGTGAAGACAATAAGATTGAATAAGAAAAAATATTCTACTTTTCAAATAGAAGAAATAAAAATGTTTATAAAAACCAAAATAAAAAAATAAAATAAAAAATAAAAACCAAAATATTGGGGCCAGGGAGATAGCTCAGTAGAACAAGCGTTTGCCTGGCAAACAAGCGCAGGGTCCTGAGTTCAATCCCCAGTACTAAAAAAAAAAAGAAATACAGAAAGAAAACCCAAAATATTGGGGCTAGGGAGATAGCTCAGCAGCTTAAGTACCTGCCTGACAAGTACAAGGTCCTGACTTCAAACCCCAGGTCAAAAAAAATGAACAGACAAACAAAAAACCCCAACAACCCAAACATTTAGGAATAGTGCCACTGAAAAGAGTAACACTATCACAGTGCCATACAGTTGTGCCCATTTCAGTCTCCTGCACACCTCTGGGATGCTTTAAGTCCCTGTTGAGGTTGATAATAGGACACAAATCTGTCCTAATTCACACCTCCACTGAGAATGGCCTGAAGGCCTGTTTTTTTTTTTTTTCATAGCCAAAGGACCTGACACCAGATGCAGCCACAAACAGCAGGGCCAGTGCCAGATGGAGCACACCAATGCTTTGCTTTGTGGGACGAGGAGGACCAGCTGGGTATGGCAGGGTGTATGGGCACAACTTTCTGTATAAGATGGAAAGTAAGTAAAATGACAGAGTCTAAGGAGGTCCCTCCTACCTTGGACCAATTGAATTTGAGGCTGAACTCGGATGCATCCAGAGGTAGGACCTTGGGCAAATCACGGAATGTCTCTAAGCTCACAAAGTAGGGCTATTGTAAGGGGCAAGTAAAATAATGTGCCTGGAAATGCCCAGTAAGGTACAATTTTACCAGTAGAATGTAAAATATGAAGGATTATTATTGTATTAGAGGCCAGTGAAGGGAAGAAACAGTGCCTTGAGATTTGCCTGCGGCCCTCAGTCAAGCCTCCACACAAGTCAGAAGCAACACTGGCTTCATGGTATGGTCAGTCCTTCACACCCCCACTCCTCAGAAGCTGAGGGTCAGGGGGATGGAACAGTACATTCTCTGAGGCTGCTTATGGAGTCTGGGGCAGAACTGCAGAGCAAATCCAGGTGTGTCCTGCACATTTTCAATGATACTGTGCTACTTCCCACACTGGAAAGCAAAAATTACAAATGAGAACTCTCTGGGGAACAAGAGGAGTGAGGGGAGAGTGGGCCAGGAAGTGAGACTCACCAGTGAACCTCTCATTCTGAAGGCAAGGGATCCAGGAGGGAAAAGAGAGGAGAAAGTTATTAGAGAGGACTTCCATTTGCTTCAAAACATCCAGTTCCAGGCCCCAAGCTAATAGCTGTGTACTCCTGCCCTTTTCTTCCCAGTTCCATGCTGCCTAGGCCCTCAGCACAGCATAACCTTGGCAATCCATCCAGGAATCTGTAGAGCACTCTGTGGCTGCCACCAGAGCACAGGGAACAGGGAGGCAAGAAAGGACAGGCAAGGGAACGGGACTTTTGGCCCATCCCATACAGCAGTGGCACCTTACCATGTGAAAGGCCAGTAGACAGCGGGTGATCCTGTGAGACAGGCAGCCACAGCCAGTATCAGCAGAGGGAGAGAGGCCAGTGGGCAGCAGGAAGACAGCCAAGAGCAAGGCTGCCAGTCTGGAGCTCCCCATGGGCTTCTGTGGAATCAGGGCATCCAGAGCATGGCTCTGTGACCTGAAGGTGGGCAACAGGCTTTGCTGTGCAGCTGCTGGGAGCACGGTGCCAGCTGAAGCCCTGGTTTTACCCCGCCCCCGCCCCACCCTACCCTAAAGCTCCTCCTCAACCCTAACCAGCAGGCCTGGCCACATTCCTTCTCCAAGCAGAGAAACTAAGGAACCCTGCCTGGGGCTGAGGACAGATGGACAGATGCACCTTGTTCCCTAGAAAATCCAAATGCTCCCAGCTGAAAAAAGAGGGTTCTTGGTGTGGCAGAGAAATAACAGGAAAGGGCCAGGCACCAGTTTTGGGGGTGGTGTACCCACTTCTTAACCAAAACACCTTGCAGATCTGACCCGCCCATTAACACGCCCTTAAATTTGAATCTCCCCTAAAGACACTACTTCATCCCCTCACTTACAGAATTAACAGAGCTAATAAGACCGGCACTACCCTGGGTGCTGAAGACACAGGGGTGACTGACTCACCATTTAATGTGCCTAAAGAAAAATGCACCACAGGGTGCAAATAAATCTCTCATGACCCTATAAGTACCCTAGCTCCCCACCTGGCTGATTTCAAGACTATAAGCCAGCTTTCTTTCTGTACGCAAAGCCTGACCCAGCTCCTTGGGGCAAAGAGCTCCATTCCAAAGGGGTTCAAAGCTTCAAGGACCCACCCATCAGACAGCAAGGTCAAGAAGCCCAGGCTCAGAGCAAGCTCTGGAGCAGAGGGAGCAGCCCCACGCACTGACCTGGTTTCCTGTGGTTTCCGCTGCAGGAAAAGGCTGACGAGGCTCCAGCCTGTGAGGGGACCCTCCCCATCATCCCACAGCTTCCTCCCCATGGAGTGCTTAAGCAATGTCAGCCCTCACCTTGCTGACATCCACAGTGGAAGGCAAGATGGGGCACCTCACCAAGTGGAGCTCTTGAGATTGTTACTGTTCCTCTACAACTCAGTCCTGCTTGCCTTTCAGTAGCTTGACCATAGCCTGCTTTTGGCCATTTCCTTTGCTAAGTCTTCAGGTCCATTCTCTGAAAGCCCAATCCTACTATTATCCTAAAAATATTCTCCAGCTAAACAATACTCTTTCTTATTTTTCTCTTTTCTCTACTGCTTGGTAGTGGGAGTCATGACACATGCTCTGTAGTCAAATAAATGTAGATGTTGACACTTTATCTGGTTTGTCCCTTTTCACATTTCTCAGAGCACTTTCATATTAGATCCTTCTAATCACCTTATGAGACAGGTGACAATCACTGTTTTCATTTCATAAAAGACAAAAACAAGGAAGTGGAAGGGAAGGTGATGTGGTAAAGGTCAAAGTCTATAGCCTAGGGAGCTGCTCTTCTGCAGGGCCCTCGCAACCCAACACTTTGTCACTGTATGGTCATTGTTCCCAAGGCTGCATCTTGTGCTCATAGAACCAACAAGGGTCCCCCTTGTAGCCATGGAGCCCATCTCTGCAAACAAATCAGTAAAACCTGGAGAGAGGAAAAGGTGGTCTGCCCGTACTGACAATGGATCAGGAAGCCCTCTCTCAAATTCTGCCTCACAGTGGTTTCTATCTACCACCATAAATGTGTTTTTTTTCCCTTTTTTTCCCTTTTTTTTTTTAAAGAGACAGGAAGTTGCCATGTTGCCCCAAGCTGGCTTTCAACTCATTCTGTAGCCCAGGGTGGCATCCAACTCGAGATCCTCCTGCCTCAGCATTCAGCGCTGGGGTTACAGGTATGCACTATTGTATCCAGCAATAAGATTTCTAATGCTGGGGTATGCAGTGAGAAACTTGGCTCTATTCTAGAACATGTGTCTTTCTCACTCTCTTCTCATCCTCTGATCTAACTTGAGACAGGGTTTCCCTAAATTGCCCAGGTTAGGCTCAGATTTGCAGTCTTTCTGCCTCAGCTTCCCTGTACAAGGTGGGTACCATTGCACTTGGCTTTATTTTTTTCTTCAATATTAGGAACTGAACCCAGGGCCTTCACAATAAACTACACTCAGCCTTTCCATTCAAAATTATTTTTTTTTTTTTGAAGTAGAATCTTGCTGAAGGAGCTTGGAGTGGTGGTGCATGTCTGCAATCCCAGTCCTCAGGAGGCACAGGCAGGAGGATAACCATGAGCTCAAGGCCAGCCTCGGTTACATAATGAGACCCTGTCTCAGAAAACCCTAAAGGATCTTGCTGAATTGATCAGTTCCTTAGGGTGGGCTCAAGCTTGTAATCTTCCTGGCTCAGCATTCCAAGTATGATCTAACACTCAAAGTCAAAATACTGGGTTAACTACTCTGACTCTGGCTATGGTAGGAGAAACAGAAAAGAAATCAGAGACACGGGGAAGGGAAAAACAGGAAAGAGAAAAATTGGAGGGAAGACAAGAGGGAGGAGAGAGGGCATGGAAGGGAAGATGGAAAGGAAAGGAGCACATAGAAAAGAAAAAAAAGATGAACAAAGAAGCCAGGTGTGGAAGTGTACACCTATAACCCCAGCATGCTGTGAGGCTGAGGCAGGAGAATCACAAGTTTCAGTCCAATTTGGACAATTTAGAGACAAAATGACACCTTGTCTCAAAGTAAAAAATAAACAAGGGCAAGAGATAGAGCTCAGTGACAAGGCCTTGAATTTAGTCCCTAGTATCAGACACACAGAGAGAACTGGCATTTTATTCTTTGGTTTATTTATTTAATGTGAAGGCTACTTCAAAGAGGATTTGAGGGCTGGGGTGATAGCTCAGTAGAATAA